GAGAAGGGAGCCAGAGCTAAAGGACTTCCCTCACTGGGGATTTTAAACCCTGTGCCTGGCAGCTCTGGGTACACTACCAGGCCATGGGGATCAGAGGTTTCTAGCAGGATTTAAAGTCACCAGCAGGGGAGAACCCTTCAGTTCCCAGCCCAGGAATCCCCTACTGTGGCAGTCCAGCCAGAGCTGCCAGGCACTCCTGCCCAAACAGTTTCAGTCTCCAACCAGACCTGGGGCTGTTCTAGCCATCTGACTGTCAGCCATGATCATCAGCTTACCACACAGGGGCCTTATTCTTCAAACCCATTTTGAAAGGTGAAATGTGGGCAAGCCAGTCCTCATTGCAAGACACACTGCAGCACAATCAGTGCCTTTCTTCTGCCACTGTTTGCAGCCAACAGTGGCTAGGTAGCAGCTCTGCAGAAAAGGACCTGGGGCCTACACTGGACAATAAGCTGAATATGAGCCAACAATATGCCCTTGTTGTCAAGAAAGCTAACAGCAAACTGGGCTGCATTGGTAGGAATGTGGCCAGCAGATCAAGGGGAATGATTCTTCCTCTATTCAGCACTGGTGAGGCCACATCTGGAGTATTGTGTTCGGTTTTGGGCCTCTCACTACAGAAAGGATGCAGACTAATTGGAGAGTCCACCAGAGGGCAACAAAAATGGTGAGGGGCTTGGGGACACGACTTATGAGGAAAGACTGAGGAACCTGGGCTTATTTAGTCTAGAGAAGAGATGACAGAGGGGATTTAACAGCAGCCTTCAACTACCTGAAGTGGGGTTCAAAAAAGAGGATGGAGCTAGACTGTTCTCAGTGGTGGCAGATAACAGAACAAGGAGCAATGGTCTCAAGCTGCAGCAAGAGAAGTTTAAGTTAGATATTAGGAAGAACTTTCTCACGATGAGGGTAGTAAAACACTGAAACAGGTTACCCAGAGCGGTTGTGGAATCTCCATCCTTGAAGGTTTTTAAGACCCAGCTAAACAAAGCTTTGGCTGGGATGATCTAGTGGGGGATGGTCCTGCTTTGAGCACGGGGTTGGACTAGATGACCTCCTGAGGTCCCTTCCAACCCCAACTTTCTATGATTCTATAAACAACTGTAATGTCTGTTTATAGCCCTTAAGAATGAAAAAGTGCTTTATTCTTATTCAGTCATCTTTATGGAAGTAGTTACAGATGGATAGCAATTACCTATACCATTTTAGAATTTATAAAAGGGAAATTCAATTCTGTATCCAAGTTGCTTATGATATGAAACTAAATCCACAAGTCCATTACAAATCATTTCAGATTGTTATCTATGTAAAAATGAAGACATACGTACAAATAATCTAGACCACTTTTAGTATGGTTGCAACACCCTCCTCAATTTAACTTATTTTTGCAACTTCTATGCACCATGTTGTATCTTGATTGTAATAAGAAAGGAGACTACTACATTTCACATTACTTGGAAATTGGATTAAACATTTTTACAATTTCTGAAAGTGACACTGACTCAGATAAAAGGGGCATTACTCTAAGATCCACTCTACTGAAAAAATCCATATTTACTCTTGCATATGCACTTCATACACTATTTTATTCTTCCTAATTCATTCATTTTTGAATCTTGCAGGTCACTGAAAACAAAGGAATCATGGTTCAAATTTTTCAAGGCAGGGGTCCTCCAACCCCAGCACACAGGCCAGTTTGGGCCCTCGACGCTGGGTCATCCAGCCTGCGGGGCTCCCAACAGGTATGTGGGGAGCCCTGGGGGCTGTGGCCCTGTGCACTAGATTGGGCAGAGCCAAGCAGCAGCGCCCAGGGCCCTGATCCCTGCATGGGGAGCCAGGTAAAGGGCACATGGGGCCCTGGGGCCCTATCTGGCACACAGGGGCAGCACAGTGCTTCATACCAGAGCATGGGGTCCAATCGAGCCCGCAAACCAGCTCCACGCCATTCATCTGGCCCCCAGGGACAAAATCCTGGGCACCACTGCTTTAAGGTATTCAGGCATTTTTTCACTTAAGTATTACAAGGCCTCAGTGGTTTGGCCAGTTTAGTATCATTTTCACAAGCAACTAAGCCTAAATCCCACTGATTTTCAGTTAACTATTTTTACAGTGTGGAGAGAGACATAAAAACCTGTAGACATAAAATTCTTGCATTGTAAACAGCAAGAAACTTAATATATTTGTTGGGCAATAACACATACATCAGATTTTAAATCTCAAGCACCACTGGATCACAAACTTTGACAGATTTATTGCTTACCTTCAGTTTTGTTTGCATCAAATCTTTACTAGTAATGATGGTGTTCACCTCAGTTTCATTTAATCCATGTACTATTGCTGGACCTCCCAGAGTAGCATACAGTGTAACAACTGGAGAAAAATTAAATCCAATTAACATCTATTATATATTTTCAAGCTATTTCAGAACTTCTAATAAAGTAGAAGAAAAGAGGCTTCATATCAATCAATTCTAAATCAGGAAAGAGAACCTGTTTTGCTAGATAATGTAAAAACCAATAAGATGTGCTGTTTTATGAAAAAGCATTCTACAGGCATTTAAAAGAAGTGAATGCAACTTGTAATTTGCTTACAGGGGGAACCAAGAACAAGTACTGCCTACACGAATGTTTATTAATCAGACAAACAAAATGTACCAAAATCATACAGTCCTGTATAACTCTCTAAATCCACTTCTTAATCCTTATGGCTTTAAGCAATCTAAATGCAGGCATCTGTTATTAATTTGTTAAATATGCTACACTGCACTGAGTATTCATCTTGTATGCCAGGGGGAAAACAGTTGCTTGAGTTTTCATCCCAAAATTCATATATGCCAGCCTTTTGGAACTGATAACTGATCAGAAACTACTGATAAATTATCATTTAAAAATAGACTCAGATTTTCTTGAAATTAAGCTGATAAACATCTTTTAAAGTTCTTGTCAAATAGAAAAGATTCTCTGTAGCAAACAGTTGTATCTGGAAATCTTCAAATGTAGATTTTGACCCTACTTCATAAGGTAATACACATTTATACAAACCAATAATTGGTATCCCCAAATCCTCATTTTTCATGTAACTTTAGAATGCTCATGCGACTGATCACCCTCGAGGTACTAAATTCCTTATTCTTCAGTGCAAAATGTTCCATAGCTGCATAACATTTTGGGGTTACTTTACATTCCTGAGGCAATGAATAGTTTCTTAACAGATTTAAGATGTCACAATAGATGCACAAGTTTTCTGATTCAGTATGGCACATCCTAAATTTCTATCTAGTCAAGCACAAATTAAGGTAGACAAGACTGATTAAAGCTCTTTCTTGTGAAGTGATGTACCACTAAAACTCGCTTTTTGGAAGACTAAAAAAGTTACTCTGATCCAAATTTAAATGTGCTTATGCCTTTATCTCAAATGCCCTATTTTACAAAATACTTTTAATGATAAACTTAGAGACTGTATTGCTGTTAGCCATGTTCACCACCTATATCTAAATCTCTGAAAACCTAGAAATAGTTATCTATGATTCATGGTCTTTAACTTCTCATGATATGATGCATTTGCCCCAGATCCATTTCAGTTATAATTAAAAATGGAAGTTTCTGCAATACTTCAAGTGCTTTAGCAAATTCATATGCTGGCATTATGATGACCACCAAACAAAATTATGCAACTGTTGAACTATTCAATTAAATTATGTTTTGGCTTTCAGGCATATATAACTGTTAAACAGATAGAAAAGGAGAGAGATAAATTATGAAGGTAAAGTCTCCTTTCCTCACCAAATTCAAGTACCACATTTACTTGCATACCACATGCAGCTCTGAAAAGTTAGCGCAGATCTTAAACAGGGAAGACGATTTCTGCGCTAGAACTGAAGCACAGGGACACTGTAATGGCTACCCTGGGATACTAATGGATTCCTAGGCTCTGCTTCTCTCACAGTGACAGGGAGAAAGGGGCACAGGGCACCTACAGCTCACAGTTAGTTTTAACCCTTTCAAAGCCGTAGCTGAATCGTCAATAGCTTTTGGCTCAGCAGCCAAAACTTGCTACCAAAGTCAGCAGTGGCTACAGAAAGATTAAAAATGCAGCTTTTAGCCAGTCCAGATGCATCCATGCAGACAGGATCCCCCTGCAGTCAGGATTCAGTCTCGACTTTGTGAGGGGGAAACATTTCTTTATTCTCCCTTCCCAAAAACAAGGTGCATGTGTATGTGAGAAAATACGACATTATGCTACTTAAATGTTCTCATCTTGGAGCATGTTATCCAAATAAAAACAGCATCCACTGAAACAGTAAAATGTACATAAACATTATTGTTTTTTTCCTAAAAGTTATGCAAATAAATAAATGGTTCATCTTGAATGAATGCAGTTATCTGCTAAGGAATGAGGAAATAAGTATAAGTTACTGGTTTGCATACTATAGTTACATTAGCTATGACATTTCATACTCTAATAATTAAAACAGTTATTCTATCTGTCCCAAATTTCCTAACGATACAAATAAGAACAATTATTAGGTTCACTTTTGCTGTGCTTAGTTGAATGCATTAAGTTGACCAGATATCAAGTGGAAATCTTTACTAATACTGGCACCAAACTGTTGCACAATGTTGTCACAATCAATCTTCATGAATAAATACTTGTTCTTCCTTGGCATTAGGTCTTTTTAGGTATTGAGTCCACACCTCAGCAGACCGCAAGAAGACCAACAAGAATACTTCGTATTACAGAAATATTAATCCTTCCAAAAAGAAGGCTAGAGGTACCATGATGAAGAAATAAGGGAAGAGTAATACACCATTAATCAAATATAAAGAGGACCCTGAATATGAGGCAACTGCCAAATAATTAGATTCCATATATGGAAAATTTATAAATTGGTTATCATTTTCCAGGTATCGAATCTGAATTATTAAAGGTTTGCTTTGAATGTGTCCTCTTCCCACTGCTACAGCAGGGAAAATAAATCTGGGGGTCAGACAGTCCCTTTGTCTTCTGTCCCCCTCCCCTCCCCCTAAACTTTGTCTCCCTGCAGCCCCTTCCCCTCCTCCTTACTGTCAGATGCACAGGGAAATTATGACAGGGGTCCATAGGCTTAGTTCATCCAGAAGTGATGCGGCTTACCTTTTTTTTAAATTGCTGCAAGTTTTAGCACAGGTACTCCATAAACAGCTTTCAACTACTTGAAGACTGGTTCCAAAGAAGATGAAGCTAGACTGTTCTCAGTGGTGGCAGATAACAGAACAAGAAGTGGTGGTCTCACGTTGCAACAAGGGAAATTTAGGTTATATATTCGGAAGAACTTTCTCACTAGGAGGGTAATAAAGCTCTGGAACAGGTTACCCAGAGAGGTGATGGAATCTCCATTCTTGGAAGTTTTTAAGACCCAGCTAGACAAAGCCTTGGCTGGGATGATATAGTTGAGGGTGGGGTCCTGCTTTGAACAGCCGGTTGGATTAGATGACCTCCTGAAGTGCCTTCCAACCCTCATTTTCTATGATTCTATGATAAACACACTTTTAAGCAGCATTTTCGTACCTATTTATATTTGGTACAAACTATGCATAATATTAGTCCAAAGATATAAAGCTCATGATTTACCACATTGTTGGACCCCAGCCCAAAGAACTAGAGTCAACAGCATCTCAAGCCATGGTGACCCCACAATTCAGCACTACTCAGTCTGTGTGTATACTCCAAATACTTACAATGAAGGATCCATGTGCTAACTAGACTCACACCCAAGACAGGAACTAGGTGTTCTTGTCTGGAGGATCCCAGGACTATTGACCTGAAAGAAGGGTGTTCGTACCCGAGAGCTTGCAAAGAAGAATTTTTCCAACTATTTTAATTGGTCTAATAACAGAAATCAGTCTTATCCAAAGAACCTTGTCTGCCTGTGTCCTCAGACCAACACAACTACAACCAACACTCCTGAGAGCATCCAAAAAATGTATACGAGATGCAGAGCAACCTCATCCTGCTCCACCTCATGGAGGGCAGAACCACACTAAACATGTGACAGGCTGAGAGAAAAGGAGACAGAGGGATTCTCAGGTTAATTGTTTGGGGCAATATTTCGTGATGTTTGCCAGGCATTTAAGGCTGAAGAAACAGGAATCATTGGAAAATGGAAGCGAAAACGTGCAGCTCAGCTGTGGGAGCAAAGAGGAAGTCAAAATGTATTCAGGGTAGCAGCTCACCATCAATTGAAAAAGTCTCAGCACTGAGAAGAATTGCGTGCAATGTTTTATTCAGCTGGGCTGCACTAACCAATCCTTGTTGTAGGTTCCTAATCACCATGTTTGCCCAATATGGCCATGTGTAAAAAAATTAAAAAATTAAAATGTGCTCTATAGTCATGCTGTGTGCTGCCTGCATTTAATCGCCTTCATGGTTGGTTTTTATCACTAAGTACATGTTGCTTTTGGCAGCAGTTTAATGATAGACAATGTATTTAATGAGTTTTATCTGTATGTCAGTGTAAGACAAGGGGTTTTTCCCCCCCCCTACACTAATTAGAAAGTAAACCCTCATTTTGTATTTCAGTAAATATGGTAATTTGGACCATACATGAGCAGACAACCTACTGTATTCTACCCTTGCTAAACTGATTCTATGCAGGCTTTATGAAAAACTGATGCATCTAATTTTATCCAAAATATTTTGGACATCTGTATATTCAGGACGTTCAAACAAATGGGGCTTTCAGATAAACTGGTAAGTGATATAATGCATATTTCTAGCACAAAGAATTTTAACTAATGTATGGTAAAATAAATTTCTCTCCGATGGGGGTGGGGGGAAAATCAGCACCTATTAAGGTCTTATTTGAAACAATAACATATGTTTTTCCAATTCGATTCTTCTTTTCTTCATTTTCTCTGGGTTTACTTAGAAAAAAATATATTTCCTTTCTGAAGTCCAACGTCACAGTTTAAGAACCACTGGTTTATTGTCTTGCACCCATAACTATATAGACAACATACTCTGGTTGAAACCCAGGCTGTGTTAAAGTCAATGATAAATTTCTCATAGATATCAACAAAGCTAAGACTTCTCATCATATTATTACCAGATTAATTTTTCTGTTTACAAACCAGAGTAATACAATCAGACTTTCCCTTTTATTTAAGATTCAGTGCAACAACATAGATCTAAACACCACAATAATTTATTTTTACTTGACTTATTATTTTCACTTATTTTAGTCTTAGACTAAAATATTACTAAAATAAAGGCTATGGGAAAGAAAATGCACTCTTTTTTAAAATATACATTTTTAACAAAGTAGCTCATTCTTAGGAATGCTTCAAAAATGCCTCATATTAAAATAACCGCAAAACCAAATTTGATAATTA